GGAGGTGCGGGGCTGGGGGCAGCCAATGCTCAGCACTGCCCAGGGCCTGGCACCCCGCCCCCCCAGCCCTTAGAGCTATCCCCAGAGTGCACCGTGCCACCCCCCAGCCCTTGGAGCAAGGGTGGGGAAACTGAGGCCCAGGGCTGGATGTGGCCTCCAGCTTGCCTGGATCTGGCCCGCAAGGCTCCCTCCAGCATTGGGGAGCCCATGCTGGTGTTTACATCCCCCTCCCCTCCCCCGTCGTCCCATCACTGGGCCCCCCCTAGACTCTGGTGTGTGAGGGGAATGTGGAGAGCGTCTTGCTGCTTCTCAAGTGGGGGTCACCATGATGAGGGTGGTTTCCTCTGCTTCTCACTTGTGTGTGAGCCCCCCCCCCAACTGATTTTTCTGGGGGTCAGTGGCCTCCTAACCCCTCCAAAATTCCCCGCCCCCACCTTAGAGCCCCACACAGTACACCATGCTACCCCCAGCCCTGGGAGGGCCCCAGAATGCACCAGGCCGCCTCTCGGCCCTCAGCGCCGCCCGGAGCGCACTGCACAGCTCTCTGGCAGCCATGCCAAGGCTTTGGAATCACGGGTCCTGGGGCACTTGCCCCATTCCCCCTGCCCTGGGCAGACCTGCATCCGAGCCCTGGGAGCCTGCGTGGGCTGCCCTGGGTTCTGAGACTGGGGCTGGGGGGACGGGGTTGTGGTTGCAGTGCAGCTGGGCCGTAGTTCATATGGGACCACTGTGGCCATCTAGTCTGCCCTCCAGTCCCCGGCAGGCCCAGAACGGTCCCAAACGAGCACACGCAGCCCGTCCGCACCAGCCCCTTCCCGGGCAGGCGGCACCGGGTTCAGAAGGGACATGCTGGGGCTCAGGCTGGGTCGTGCGTCGCTCTGAGCCGCGCCCTTCGTCCCGCGCCGGCCCAAGACGGACACGGTGCGTGAGCTGGCCGGGCCTCGCGAGTGCAGCAATGTTTGGGGGGTCCAGTCTGCTGGTCTTAGCGCCGGGGGATTACACAGCCGACGGCTCCCAGACTCTGCCCCTTCCCCGTCAGGCACGGAGTGCGGTTTTGAGGTGCTGCGGGGGTGGGGGGAGACACAGAGGCCTGATGGAAAGTCAGTAAATGGTTCAGAGGGGGGCAAAAGCAAACACAGGAGGGATGTACACAGTCCACGCTGCCTGCCAGGAGCGGGCAGAAAGCCAGCATCTGTCCTTCGCTCGCCGCATCCCGGGCCCATAGAATTTGGGAACTGAAGGGGGTAAAGCACTTACAGAGCGGAGCCCCGATTCTGCCCCCCCGAGTGGAGTTAATGGCGACGTTCTGGGTGCGGCTGTGCCGGCCAAATGTCTCGTTCACCAGTGACGCGTTAACCTGGCCATTTGCGTCCCAGCAGAGCAGAGCGTTGGGCCAATTGGCTGGCAAATGGACCCTCCTCCCCCACCTGCGCTTTGGGCAGCCGAAGAGCACTGGGTTGTTCTCCGGGGCCACGTCCCAGCCCCAAAGGGCATCGCGGTGTCGTGCTGGCGTCTGTGCCGTGGGAGATGATCAGCGCACTGATGGATCCAAATGAATCAGCTGTTTACAGCTTGTCCCCAAAGCGGGCCCACGCCTGACCTTCTGCAGAGACATCCGTCCGACTGATGGGAGCAGTGACTCACCTCCAGTTGGAAAAACGCGTGTCCCAGAGTTTTGAAGATGCTTTACGTGAGTGTCACTTGGCGGGGATCCTGGTAGGTGGGGTCATGAGACCGGCTGTTGCTTCCAGGGCCGTATTTACAGTCTGGCCTCTGGTTTTGCAAGCTCCCTTTTCCCGGGTAGTAGAACGACTTCCCTGATTTCTCAGCTGACGGGTTTCTCTGTGCCCTCGGCGGAGGGTGTGTGCACCATGAACCTCCTGCTGAGCCGGGTTCTGCATTCTTTCCCCACACCCTCTCCAGTTGCCTTTCCTGGCTACGGCACGTACTTCCCCCATCCTGAGCTAACAAAAAGCACCTTAACGGCACACCCAGTTCTCAAAGACTGGTGGAGCTTTAGGTATGTCTGGAATTTTTGTACATTGATTCCTACAGCAAAGACGAGCGTTCGCTGCCGCGGGGGACCGCACATCTTCGGCGGCTCTGTGACACCGAGCCGGTCATGTCATAGTCCCGCCGCCAGACGTCGGAGGGGTTTGTTTCTTCTGATGTGAGCGCTGAGAGGTGGGCGGGAGCCAGCTCCTTTCGCTGCACGTGTGGCCAGCAGTTATGGGCCCTAGTCCAGCGTGAGGTGTAAGTATTGGCGTGGAATGGCTTGCATGCAGAAAAACTAGAACGGAATGCTGATGCTTAGGAATTGTGCGTTTGAACTAGCTGTACTGCAACTAGCTGGTCACACGGCATTTTGCTTCTGCTCCCTGAGTAGATGACAAACTTTTTAGCAGGCCCACAACAAATGCCCAAAAGAAAAAAAAAAGTGCTTTTGGTACAAAAGTGAGAACTCCAAAGTTTGGGGGCAGTTTTCTGAATGTCCAAGTGATCACTGGAATGTTTAGAAATACTGAACGGTGCAAACCCATGGCCAACTGGGAACCAAATGTGAACTGTTCGTTCATTACTATATGCATAGATTTGTGTTGATCTTACTCTCCTAGATCTATGTCATAAATAGGAGAGCGCTGGTGTTTAGCAGGCGGCCTGGAATACTTCTCTAGCTAATCTTCAGTGTGACTACTTGTACAAATTTGGAGCTCGTGAGAAGCCCATGAAGAAAATTGCTTTTTGTTTATGCCTGGTACTTGCTGGTACCAATAACATGCCTACGGCATTGTCCGTAACACTTTGTTGTTGATGTATTTGAAATTGCTGCCTTGGCTGGATAACATTATAGTCCCACTGAAAGAAATGACTTTGAAAAGAGACTACAGAACAGATGAGATGCAAGCTCGTATATTGCAGTCTGAAGTTTAAAAAAAAAAAAAAGTTTAAAAGCAGCAATAAAAGCACTCGATAATTCTCATCCGAGGAAAATCCACAATTAAAATTCTGGAGCTGGAAAAGGGAGGGTTAACAAGCCCAAATTTAAACATATGTCAATTTTTTCTCCCCCTTGTGATTAAAACCTGGGACACGGTTGCATATTCATAAGGCCTGATTTCAAATGGTCGTTATTTCTGCTCTTCCTGATTGGTGAATACTGCAGTGTGCCCGGCTATCGTTTTTTAACTACTTCATAATACGAGAGCTATGACCTTGTACCACACTCGAGTGATTCGAGGCTCTTAGTGGGTTGCTATATTCAAATATAAAATACTTCCGCAGCGAGGGCAAAAGTAAAAATAGGGGCCTTACCAAAGAGGAAAAGAATTCATTGGGTGCCCTCACCCCCTGCCCACCCTTTTTTGCCCCATCCACCTCTTTTCGGGCATTTTCTCTCTCGCTTTTTTTAAGGGGCCCGATTCTGTGCCCTGAAAGCCAAAGGCCGGTTTGCCATTGGCTTGGATGGGTGCACAATGTGTGGTTTTACTCTGAGCAACGGCAGTGGGAGAGCTCCGATCTAGCGCATCGCGGGGCCGAGGCGGCAGCGTTCCTGCGTGAAATGGTATTCTGGATTATTGCCCCCTGTAGCTGCCGGCTCTGCGGGTTCTGAGACCCAGGCTGGGTTCTCTGACTCGCGTGCCGGTGCTACCTGTAAAATACGCCCCTCATTACAAGGGATGTTCCTTACTGTGTCTTCTCTGTTCAACAAGATGGGGAGCTGCTGAGTCCCGCAAGAAGTAGCGAGGAATCCCTGGGGAAAAGCTGGTGAGTGCTGTTCGTGATTGATTATTATGACAACAGTAGTATCTGGAGGAGCCAGGGCGGGGCAGGGTGCTAAGAACGCAGTCCCTTATCTTTGAAATACATTGCAGGCAGCCGCAGCCCTGGAGAAGGTCTGTTGCGTAAGAAGGTCCATTTTCACACAGTCCCTTTCCTGTGCCCATAACTGTACTTTTAAGCAACCCCAGTTTTGTAACCTCTTGGGATGTTGCCAAAGGGAGTTGTGACCCTGTGTTTCTATCTCCCCCCACCCCATCCCCCTGCTTTTCTTGGGAAACTTAAGTCTTCAGTGCAAAGGGCTATTGTTGGCCGAGTTTGTTATATGCACGTTTTCATTCCCAAGGGGGAATTGCTGTGGATTTTACCAGCTGTCTGAGAGGGGCGGTGTCATGGGCTCTGTTCTCTCTGTCTCAGTGATGCTTTTAATTGGACTGATTCTGCCTCTCTTACTCACACGGACTAGTCCCCCACTGCCCAACTAGTTCCACTGACATCAGTGAAACTAGGTGGGAAGTCTGGCAGGCCCTGTGTAAATGGGGCAGGATTGGGTCTGATCTGATAGGCAGCTGGTGCCTGCCAGGCAGGGGCCACCTAGAGGACTAGGAAGGGGGCATGAGAGGGCACCCTATTTAGGGATTAAAATTTTGGCAGGGGTGCTGGTGCATTTCTCCAGTCACCGGTGTCCAATAAAGCAGGTAGTTTCTGCACCACTGGATAGGCTCAAAGCGCGTTGCCGTGAATGAGCTGGGATTTACAGACCCGGCAAGGTAAGCAGGCATGTGTACCCCCATTTCAGAGCTGGGGGAACCACTGACTGCCTGGACAGTAAAGAGGCCTGTGGGTTTATGCACTAGGAGCCAGCATTCTGCTCCCTGTAGGTCTCAAGAAACTAAATCCAGAACATAATCTAATCTGTTTGGACTCGGCTATTTCCAATGACAAATGAATCCAAATTAATTTGCTCCCATTTCCCGTGCGCTTAATCACCTTCCCGGCCCTGAACAAATGCACTCAGCCCACCCCACCGCCGGCTCCTCTACGCACGCAGCCCGGCCAAGTGGCTCTGGCAAGCATATCTCACGCAGAACGTTTCTGCTGCCCTGCCCTTCAGAGGCCAACAGGTGGTTGTTTCTTTTGCAAACCTGTCAGCCCACTTGCTGTCAGGGAGGTTTCTCTGCACCCTCACTCAGCCCCAAACCACCCTGCTGCTTGCCACACATTTCTAGCTCAGGGCTGAGAGGTGCATTTCCTCCTGTGCAAGGAGAAATAGTATTGACACCTTGGTTGTGACCTGCTGCCAGCTCTTCTGGTTACAAGGCATGAGGGAATGCATTGCAGCTCCTGGAGCCGGACATGTAAGTACAGTGCCTCTCTGCTTCCCAGCACCTCTTCTGGAGTTTATGAAGTTTTTTTTTTTTAAAGATCTTTTATGTTGCTTGCAGTGAAATATACTCAGTCTTTATGCAGTAAATTCAAACAGCCTCTTGTCTGTAAGTGGGCTTGGGAGGTTTAGATTTTTATTGGCACATGTCAATTTCCCTGTCCACACACATACATGAAAAAATATTTCCACTGAACAAAATAAAAACGTACAGCCAGGCGACGTCAGAAAAATGCTCCTGGAGAACTCAAGTCCGGGTATTTACTGTGTCTGGTTTGAGATGTGAAGGTGGCAATTGGTGTGAGTGGTTATAAAGCTTTAACATTTTGCATCTCAACCGCTATTCTCAGTAAACAGTCGCCTAAGTCCCCTTTGCCCGATCACACCATCATTTCACACAACTGTGGAAAAAGTAAGCCAATAAAAAAAACTTTAAAAATATTATTTCTCAGAATTATTTAAAAAAAATCCTATTCTGCAAAGCCCGAGTAGATCCACTCGGCAAGAGAAAGTTGGAACTTTTCGTGTCCTCTACAGAGAAACGATGGAAATGTTAGAGAGTATTTTGTAGGTGCGGTAAGAGGAA